CGCCCTGCACTGTCGCTGGCGCGGCCTCACGCGCGGGCACGCCGCCGGCTCTTCTGCGCCGGGGGCGTCAGCTGCCCGGCGGACTCTGGCCCGGGAGGCCGGTCTGAGCGAACCTTCTCACCAAAAATAAAGCCACCCCCACGTTCGCTTTTGCGAGGGAGCTCAGAGAGCGCGCGGCGCTGCGGGCTTTGAATCCAGATGGCACGGGTGACCGAAGAGCTGGGAGCGTTTTGCCACCCACAGCAGGCTCTACTGCCTGAGCGCCCCTTTCATTGTCTGTAAAACACGATGATAACCTCTGCCTAACCAAGCCCAACCCTCCCTCCCTCCTGGACAGATACTGTCGCATGTTTGTCCAGTCGTGGCCAGTGACAGGCTGCAGTGATGATCACACACCTGTCCCTGCCTTCTGTCTGCAGTTTACAGTCTGGTCAGTTTCGAGGAGAGTAGGTTGCGACAATTTGCTACAAAAGCTTGTGAACTGCACCATGCTGCATATAGGAAGTGCATGAACAAGAGAAAATGAGGAAGTGGTAAAGGTCTCAAATATAGTAGGAAATGCAAACTTGCGGCCTCCTGATAATTGCACATTGACTAGACAGGGATAGGTATAAAAATCCCTTTCGAAAATTATTCTATGGCTGGAGTTTTGCAATCACTGAGTATTGTAATCTTTTAAGTTTCACCCAGTTTGAATGCCCTTCAAGTAGTTGGTCAAGTTACCTATGGGAAGTAATTGAGGCTTAAAACAGTGTGTAACACACAAGGGGATACTTAGGAGGTAATTATTTTCCAGGAGGAATAGGATTTTAAGTTGCTGAGGGCAAGCATCCTCTTTTTTTTATTATTATGTGTCCTGGCGTTGATCACTCCATACTCAACATGTAGTAGAGACTCAATAAACGTTGAGTTAAAAAAATTAAAAAATGGAAGGACCTTGAGCAGATCAGTTGTTGATGTCTTGCTTTGGAATAAGGCTGTTGAATTTAAGATTTTTTTATCCTCATTTGTATGATACAGTATTCTAATTATGGGGGCACATACTCGTTCTTGACATAAAACTGAGTCATGAAATCAACAGAGTAAGTATCAGTTGTGAAGCTTTAAAAAGGCTGAGTAAAATAGTTAATGCAGGGAACAGAGAAAGTATCTGAAAGTGATACTTGTGCGTGGTTGACTTTTTCTTTTCTTTTTTGCCTAGCAAATCTCTGAGTGATGAAGAAAATTTGAAACTGTTTGGAAAGTGCAACAATCCAAATGGTCATGGGCACAATTATAAAGGTGAGAGAAAAGATGAGATTTTAGCCCTTTCAATAGGATGAAAATGTTCAGTAAATCCAGTGTTAAAAAGTAATAAGCCTATGGATAGCGATGAATGCTTTGACCCTTGGCTGGAAAGTTAAGTGGAAGCTCAAAGTCAAAAGATCTATTGTCTCTGTTGAATGCGCCTTAAGTTTTACCTTGCACTTACTTACCTGCTCTGTTACAGATAGAAAACATTGGATTTAAATATGTTTTTTCTTGGCTTTAGTGTGTGTAATGAAATTCTTTTGGCACCACATTTCCTTCTAATTAAGAAATCGGACATTGTTGAGGTTAATTTTAAAATTAGATTGAATTCTTCCAGTAAATAACTGACAAAAGGGAACAATGGCTAGGAATAGACAGGATAGCAGGAAAAAATAAGTTAGGTCTAAAACTTTTGTCAGCAGTGTTCCTAGAAAGTAGTTTATGCAGGCACAAGAGATTTAATTCTTTGAGGTACAATCATTACCTCAAAAAAAGCTACGTAAGCCTTATGGAATGACAACATATGATGTCATAGAGTAAAAAAAAGAAAAGATATCAGAAGATGAGGATTTCTAGTTTCAATACTGCCTTTTATGTGATCTGTGGTATCACTTTAATTTTCTCACTTGTTACATGTATATACTGGTGTTTGTAGGGAGCTGAAAAATGTATAAAAGTTACTAATTTGGGGACATTATTATCAAGATGTTTCAAATGCTTCCCGACAAGTACCTGTTACAAACCATTGCAGTGAGTAAAGGGAAAAGAATTTTATACTCAACATTAGTTTGCTTATACAAAGAGGTACTACTCACTTTTGGGCCAACTTGGTGTGATGCTGGACACCTCCTTGTACATTTTCAGTTTTCCCAGGCAGTGATCAAGCAACATCTCAATTTCACCTAGTTGAGATCCCTACCTAGTACATCAGCATCACAAGAAGAATTTAAATCCTTTTCGGTCTTGGCTAAGCTCCTCTGCTTAGCCAAAACTGCTCTTATTTGAGTCTTACTCTAACTGATAAAAAGAGCTTAACAAAAAGAATAGCTGTTTTTGGGGAAAATAACATAAGCTTTGCCAGGCAGAGAGCTAATACTTAATTTGTGTTGCTAACTTGTGCTTGGATGTTAATCTGTTGAAAGTCATTCTAGTTTTCTTGGTATTTTGTTTTCTTTCCCATAGTTGTGGTGACAGTACGTGGAGAGGTATGTGCTGAAAATATTTGTGTGGTTTGTGCCAATTGCCGGGTCCCTGTCAGCCAGTGTGATAGAATCTGTGTTGAAAAATGCAGTTCAAATCAGTGTTGCTTCATTGTTGGCTTTTATGTATGGTGAGCTGCTTCCATTCCAGCCTTTTCTCCCAAAGTGTCATCTTTAATGTGCTCTGTGTAGACTGATGAAAGAGAATACAATGAAACGGATGACTGGAACACTTGATATTTCTATTCTGAGATCCACAGTTGTCTGAGGGATGAAGGCAAATGGGGCTTGGTTTCTGCACACTGTACAGGCTTTACTATATGCCAGAGGCTTCAATATGAAGAGCATGTGATAGTAATATTTACCTTTGTTTGTTCTGTAGATTGACCCTGTCACTGGGATGGTTATGAATTTGACTGACCTCAAAGAGTACATGGAGGTAATGGCATGTTGAGTACTTAACTTTGTGCTGTTCTCTGAGTACAGTATTTGATGGCCGCCTTCTCACTTCCTCAGCCAAGTATCTCCAGAGGTTCTGTGAACTGCTGAGTGTGAGATCTGGGGAGTAGTGGGAGAAACTACTGTCATATTCTAACGTGTTTGAGTAACTTGGGAATTAGTCACAGTTATATTATGGGAATAAAGGTATAAATGTAGCATATACGTCTTATATTCTTGCTGACATATCCTGATTTTCTCTTTTTAACAAATTTTACTGAGACACAACTTTTTTCCTGGAAGCTTTCTTTTCCTTCTCTGAACTTTCTTTATACTTATGATCATAGATTTTAATATCACCTGCTCTTATTCACTCTAGCTTTATTATAATTCAGTGGGGACTTTAACTCAAAAGAAGGTATTCAATAAAGGACTTACTGTGAGTGTATCATTATTGAATTTTTACATTGCAAAAGACCTTAGAAATTAAGCAAACTTCATTCTGTAGATTAGGTTTGAAAGGTGCTAACAGTTACCAACTTGCTGAGGTCATGTGGTTAGTCCTTTATAGAGCTGAGGTTTCCTTCTGCCCTTAGTTTTTATGATTCCATTACTTCTCCTGTTTATTCACTTTTTCTTTTCATTTCAGCTCTACCCCTTAACTTTTGTTCTAAAATTTGATGTTTGTTTCTAAAAATGCTATAATTAATAATCATTACTTTCATATTACTCACATGTTCAGTAAGTTTACTGACTTTGTGGCCATCTTCTAGCTAAGACAGGGAATGCAAAGATGAGACAGTCCTTATGCAGACTCTTTACATTACTTTTCTAGGAGGTGTAGAATAATAAGTGGTCAAGAAGTGTTGCTTGAATAAATGAATAAGAGATTGAGTGAATGAACAAGCAGTATTGTGCTTCACATTACTTTAGCAATGCAATAAATACATAGTTCTTGCATTTACATAAAATACATTTATGCAAAGTACTGTACAAAACAAGACAGTACGAGAAATGAGATGACCCAAGGAAGCATATTACTTAAATACTAAAGATGAGGTTCTCTACACTTTCCTCACTTTTATCTATTCCGAAGACACTACATACCCTATGAGTAAAAGTGGCTCCTCATGGCATACAGGGTGAATTAGAACCCTACAGAAGAGGCTTCAGTAAAAAGTTGGGACTTGATCTGGAGTAAAGATAAAACAGATATTTCTTTTCTTGATATACATATAGAGTAGCCTTTCATGCGTTCTTTTAAAGGCTACTTGGTTTAGGACTTACTCTTTTTATATATTTCTGCTTTTGTTAAAAAAAAAAGGTTGCTATCGTTTTTATTTAGATTGTTTCACAAATGCTTACATTTTGTGTAACAGCTAAAAGTAAAGGCTTAGAAAGAATAAGACAATTACAGTTCTTGCCAATGACAAAAGAAAAATATCACGTTAACATATACACGCATTAAGAAGATACAGCCTACATATTTATTCTGCTAAGAGCCCAAGCTCACTCTTCAATAACTTCTCATAGCAGAAATTTGGAACTACTTACGTAATTTCAGTTTTGTCTGTGTTAGAATATGTAGTCTTTACTGGATCTTTATCCTACTGAAATTGTGGCATTATGCCAAAGGTGAGAAGAAAGAGGATTTCTAGTAACTGGATAGAATTCCAGATTGAATGTTAAACTGAATTCTGAGTCACAGTGATTTATTACCAGAAACTTTTAGTGACTTCTGTCTCTTCTGACTTTTTAAAATCTTTTTGTATTCTGAAATGAGAACAACTAATGATAAAGATCTGGGCCTTTATTTTGCTACCTTAAACTTTATGAGATTGCTTTATAGGACATAGATAAGACACTGAGAAGTACTGAGTTAGTGGCTGAATGATAAGGTTATGTTTAGAGACAGAACTTTGGAATTTGAGTCACAAATGGAGTCATGTTCTTCCTTGATTTCATCCGTAGGAGGCAATTATGAAGCCTCTTGACCATAAGAATCTGGATCTAGATGTGCCCCACTTTGCAGATGTTGTCAGGTGAGTATGGTGATTTTGCTGTATTTTGATAGTGAGAAGGTGTATTGATTTAACATTTTATCTGCCTGCTCTTTGATTTATAAAGTTTTAGTTTGATATCTTTTAAAACTAGAATGCTGTTATTTGTAATTATTAAACAATATTTTGTTTATCATTTGCCTTTTTCTTTCCTTTTTTTCCCCAACAGCACGACAGAAAATGTAGCTGTGTATATCTGGGAAAACCTCCAGAAATTTCTTCCTGTGGGAGTTCTTTATAAAGTTAAAGTATATGAAACTGACAACAATATTGTAGTCTATAAAGGAGAATAGTTCCTCGGGGTTAATATTTTAGAAAGACTTAATTTCTTTTCAAATTTGAAAAAGATCTTCATTCCTTTGGACAATTAAGAAGTCTTCCCAAAATTGTTGCACTTTGTTTGTCATGTTCTGGAGAACCTGATCTGTTGGAGTCAGCCCTATTTTTAAGTCAGATCTATTTAAAACCAAATTTATACTGTAATCCTGAGTATCATTTAGAGAGCCTTTTATCTGTTGATTAAAAATCTCTTCATTTTTAGCAGAATGGCTTGGTATGGAATTATTTGAAAGCTGAAGAGGTCTATTTTTGTTGGTTGTTTCATTGTCATTTTTTTCTTGCTGTAATTAAATTGCAAACATGTTTGTGATGAGTCTTGTGAAAAACAAGATGACCATAAAGTCTGGTAACAAAGACATCATGTATTTTTTTGTAGAAGTGTTGTTGATTACTAGGAGGTACACTCAAGCAAAAGTTTCTTCAGTGAAAACTAGACATGCAAATCATCTGAGACACAAACCACCCATTGTAGATGGATGTTCAAGGCTCAGTGGAAATGCTGCTTCAGTGTACATTGTTCATGGAAGCTTGGCCCAGCTTACTAGAGTTTACATTGCTAGTGAGGGACACGATGGATGTCAGTAAACTACTGATTATGTCTGTGTCTCTAGACTTTACCCACGCCCTGACAGTTTTAGCTCAGGAAAACTGAAGAATAGTCACATGCATTAAACCCTGCTAAAATAGTTAACATGAAAAGGATACATTACCTGTAAAGCATCTCTAGTACATGTTTCCTAATTGTTACCATTTCACTCTGATCATTAAACTTACCTCCCTAACTTCAGCTTTATTCTTGACTTTCATCCCTGGTATCTTTTCCTTATAATTAAGTCCACAGATTATTGCATTTATTTGATTTGTACAAAGAACTGGGGGTTTTTTTTTGTGTTTTCACTTAGATTCTAAACTTTTCAACACGGGCTTTTATTTTTCTTTGTGCATAGCAACTTATCTACAGTGAATTCTCAGAATGTTGCCACCTGAAAGTGGTAGAAGGACTTGCACAGTGATTACTATTCTGGAAAAAATTGAAGGAGGTATGATTTTATTTTGAAAAATGAGTAACTACAGAAATTTTACTATAAGTTTTGACAGTAATGCTGACTCCCCTTAATTCTTTTAAATAAATACAATTTTTATAGTGCTTATTCATTTATATTTTCATTGACTACCTGAAAGGAACACAGTTACAATTTATTGAGGTGCTTTTTGTTTTAACTTCCACAGATACCATGCAAAGTGGGTGTTACCCCAATTTTACAGTTGAGAAAATTAAAATTGAATGACTTTAAGCTACTTGCTTGATTCACTTAACCAATTTCAAGCCATCTGTTTGACACTCAGAGTCTGACTCTTAAAAAAAAAAAACACAACAGTACACAGGGGGTTCTCTTAAGTTTCCCAAGAACCTGCTATCAGAGACCTTATCAAACTAGATTTTAACTACAATATTACCTATTTCCTTTACTATTCTGTAGCATTACCTGTTTCATATACCACCCTGAATTCCTGTAGGTATTCTACTCAGAGTATCTAGTAAATAGTACTAATTTTTTTTGTCATTTAAAAGAATGACATATTGGTAGAAAGTATTGAAATTTTATAGCACCTTATACATAATGGGTACTTGGTAAATATTTTTAGAATGGAGTAACATGAAAAATTTGAGACTTGAATTCTAGTCCTCATGCTCTGATGCTTCTTTTTCAACTCAGGCCTTTCTTTACCCATCCTTTTCTTGGCCCATTCTTTACCCACAGTGTGGGGACTATGGGCTTTCTGAAGTTGCTTCTGCCTGATCTCAGATTTTACCTCAGTGATTTTAAATATCAAATGAGTTAAATATTAGTTTAAAGAAGGAAAAAGATTACTGTGGGTTGGTGAGATTTGGAAAATCTTGAAGAGATAAGTCCTGAATATTATCTGAAGTGGTGGGATAGGTTTGGAGTTTAGGAGAAAAGGAAATTAATCCTGAAAGGATAAAAATTGGTGAGTGAGATTACAAGGGTGGGGATGTTCAAGTGTATTTGGGGTATTGAATAGATTAATCCTAATATGTGGTGGTAAAGTGTGGAACTGTCATGGGAAGTTAGTTTGGGGACCACCTAGAGCTCTTTGAATATCAATTTGGGTTTCATCCTTGCAGGAATAGGAAGCTGTTGAAACTTTGTTCCCATTTGAAGGAAGATGAACAGCTTGGACAAAGGGAAACAAACCAGTCACAAAGCTGTGATCTGGACAAGAGGTGATGGTTGTTTAGAGCATAGTGATGGTGGTAGCAGTAGAAGTAGAGTGACCTAAAGGATGACAAAGCGTTGTTAGCTCTGTCACTGTGGTGTCAGTGTTTTGCTAAATGCCTTTTATCTCACCACATTTTATCCTCATCACCACGTGGTAAGCTAGTGTGTTAGTTTTCTATTGCTGTACAGCAAATTACCCCAAAGCATAGTGGCTTCAAATAACATGCAGTTATTATTGCATAGCTTATGACTGCTAGAACTAAGACATGACTTAGCTGAGACCTCTCGCTTGGCTTTCGCACAGATCTTTGTTGTCGTCACCTTAAAACTCAGGAAGGATCACCTGCCCTCCTCACTAATGCTGTTGTTGCCATCATTAAGTTTCTCACTGGTTGTAGGACTAGGCCTCAGTTCCCCCCTTCTTTTCTTGTCACATGGGCCTCTTTACAATGAACCTCATAACATGGCAGCTTGTTTCATCTGAGTGAGCAAGTGAGAGGAGAGAGGGCGAGGGCAAAGGAGAGTGCCAGAGAGAGAGGCAGAGGGAGCGGAAGCTAGAGAAAACATGTACCAGCTTGAGGGAGTCACAGCCTGTGACACATTCAGGTTTTCTCTCTTGTGCCTTTGAAGCAAGTCACTGGATCCATCCCACACTCAGGAGGAGGGGTTGTACATGTCTGGTGTGTAAAGTGTGGTGTAAAGAACAGTAGAGGAGAAGACAGAGGGGAGGCCGGGAGTGTGTAAAATGCCTTTTTGACCCCTGGTGCGTGAAGAGCATTTCATTTTGCAAGAGTGAAATACCAGAGTAGCAGTGGTTGTTCCAGTGGGAATGATGGGGTCCATAGGTAGGTAAATAATAAGGATCTTTGAATCATGATTTTTAAAGTAAACAAATTGTAAGGTGAGAAGTTAGGGGAAATTATATTGACTGTGAACAGAGTGACAGAGTCGCCTATCGTTTGTGATGCCTTGAGTGATGAGGTCTCAACAGGGAAAGAAAGGGCCAGAATAATGACCAGTTTTGTGCATGTGGCCAGACCTGCGATATGTCTCTCATTTTTTCAGTTTCCACTCTTGCATTCTTCCTGGAAATGGAATTATCTTAAAGATGGGAAACAGGTGGTGCTCATTTTGCTTTTGTTATGTCTGGGATATTTCTAGTCTCCCTTGCACATAGAAAAATCATTGTTAGTTTCACACAATTTAACTTTATAGCAAGATTCTTTTGCAAGACACTTGGAAAGTGGCCCAGATAAACACTGTCTCTACATAGCTGCAGAGAACTGCTATCACCACAAAAGAGAAGTTGGGGGAGGTAGTTCTTTCATTGAAGGATTTCAAAACAGCGATTAAGCTTTTACGTCACTCATCAGTTGGTTTGCTTCCTTTGAACTCCACCTACCCACTCCCACCAGTATTCTGTCATATTGAGACAGGTGTACTAATCACTAAGAGAATACTAGAACTATTCTCTCTTATCTCCCTCCCTCCCTCCCTCCTTTCCTCTCATTGTCTCTCTTTCCCCAAGCCCCCTTCTCTCTCTTACCTGTTGTTGGCTGAAAACATATCTCTGGCTTGTATTCTTCATAATGCCAGTAAAACAAGTCCTACTTTAGGAATTAAGGCCAACTTCACCCTCATTTGTTTGTTATTCAATGAAAGTATTCAGTTTGGTAGGCTAGTAAGTGCAGACTAAGTTGTTAAACCCTTTCCACTTTTCACAAATAGTTTAATGAATACAGGCACAGTGACTAAGAACAACATGAGGGAATAGAAGGGCTGGTGTAGTCTTCTAACATTTTATTTGCCTACGGAACCACATGTGGGTTGTTTTACATCTCAAATGTAACATTTCCGAAGGTGAATTTCTGATTTCTCCCTCAGAGTGTATTCCACTGGCTTTTTAAAAAATGCTACTACCATCCATTAAATTTTTTTACAGTTTTTTTAATGGAATGTAATTAAAATTGAAGAAGCCTTTACATTAAAATTTAATCTAATGTAAGGTACCATTTATATATTGCTTGTTGGCCTTTTGGGCGTATAGGACCCGCATTCAGTATCACCACCGTAATGCACCCACCACCCAGTCACCACAGCCCACCACCATAGGCTGTTGGGCCTCCTTATTCTCACCTGCTCTCATCTCCTCCCCTCTGGGTGCTTCAGTTCTGTAGTCAGCTTTCAAGGGTTAATTTTTAAGCTTGTCTTTATCTGACCCTTGGTTTGATTTCTCTGTATTCCACATGTAAATGATACCATTCAATATTTCTCTTTTTCCTTCTGACTTTACTTAGTATTATCCCTTCCAGCCCCATCCATGTTGCTGCAAATGGTATGAGTTTATCCTTTTTGCTCTCTGCGTGAGATTCCACTGTGTGTGTAGATACTGCATCTGGATGCATTCATCTGTTTTTGGGCACTTGGGTTGTTTCTACATCTTGGCTATGGAAATGGTGGTGCAGTAAACATGGGTATGTAATCATTCATTTTTTTCTGGCCAGAAATGTGGGGGCTATCTTTGATTCCTTTCCCATGAACTCCTTTCCTGACTTTTCTAAGCAGAAGGTTCTGTTCTTTCTACCTGTAGCATACTTAGTTTTGCTACCTAGTCCACACCATTACTACTACTTGCCTGGATTACCAACATGCCTCTTAATTGGTCTCCGCTTCCATTTTGGTTCTCTCTCCCACGTGCATGCACACACACACACACACACCCCAGTATACCTTGAAAGCTTCCTCTTGCTTTCACGTTAGATACTCACACTGTCCTGCTAAACCCTGTAAGCTTCAACCACTGTCTACTTCCCCACCGTCAAGTTCTTCAGGTCACTTTGGCGTTTTTTCAGGCTCTGAAGTACACCAGGTTCATTCCTGCCTCAAGATTTTTGTGTCCCTGCCCTTCTGCCTGGCATGCTTCCCCTGCCCCCCACCACATCGCCCTCATAAGGCCTCATTCTTCTTCTGACCATCGGAGGAAAAAGCCTTCCTTGATCATCTTAATATGGAGAAATCCTCTGTTGCTTCCCATTGTCCTACTCATACATTCCTCTTTGTTGTAGTTTAAAAATTATATTTATTACATTTTATTAATTTGCATTCCAATTTATTGTTTGTTCCTACCACAAGGATATTCACCTCTTGAGGGCCCAGTGCCTGTTACACATCAGATGCCACATATAATTAGCTATTGAATGGGCAAGGTGTCTTCAGGCCTTAAACAATTGTTTGAACCTGGTTTAGTAAAGTTTTGATATTTCTGCCCAAAACTTTTCAAGTGTACTTTGCTTCAGCTTAGAGAAGAACCACCCCACAAGATGATCTTGTGTGCCTCCAAACCTCTTTATCTGGCTGACTTTATCTTCCTGAAATTTTGCGGTTCCATTGTTGTGTGCAAGTTGTTTTATTGTTAACTACTGCTTAAAGATGAGCTAAAACTTTGAATCCAGGGTCATTTTAGTAAATTGCTGTCTGCATTTACACCAGCATTTTTCAGCAGCCCTGATTTGGACTCACTCCCAAGGTGTTCCCTTGTACCAGG